AACCGCTCTCCTGCAGTGTAGGTGTGGAAGTAGCTCTCTGGCTATAGTTAGAATGGTTTTAGTGTTTGCGCATCTTCTTAGCACCTTCTTTGCATATGAGTTATCCAGCAGGGTCACACTGTGATAACCACGTCTTCAGTTTTGGGCTGTCACAGTACCTTTAATTTACTATTCTGCCTTTTATTTTTATTTTTTTTTAAAGAGAGTTTTGCTATAGGGTACGTGTGTACCCCAAAGAGACAGAGAGACAGAAAGCAAGAAATCACCCTTTGACGGGGATGGCCATGCTGCAGTCCCTTCTCCTCCAGTCTTCTCTCAGGATTTTGGGCACTAATGCACACACGCCTGGTGTGAGTTTTAAGCCACCAGATCCAGGATTCAAACCATAGTTGACTACATGGGAATCCAGCAACATAACCATTACATCATCTGCTGGAACCCTGCCTTATTTTCAATAGAGCTAGAGATTTTTGTTGGTTTTGGTTTGCTCAAACTGGTTGTAGTAGCTGTGATGGGTTCATATTTTGCAACTATATATTCCTATGATTTGGATTTTTTCATTTATTTTTTTTTTTAGGGTTTTTGCCATAGTGTGTGTGCACTCACCAGAGATAGAGAGACACAGTGAGAGAGAAAGGGAGAAATCATCTTCCAGAGATGATGGTCATACTACAATCCCTTGTCCATTCTCCTGGGATTTTGGGCATACACACGTGTGCCTGTCGTGTTTCAAGCCATCGGATCTGGGACTTAAACCATGGTTGGTCATTTGGGAGTCCAGCACCTCAATTACTGTGCCACTTCCTGGTCCCTGATATTTTAAAAAATACTCTTTTATTATGTTGAGTCACTTATTTTTAAATTTTTTCGGAGGGTACATGCACTCGCCAGAGGATGATGGAGAGGGAAAGGGGAAAAGCATCCTCAATGGGGTGTGGTCATCCTGAGTCCCTTCTCAGTTTCTCCATCCTGTCAGGATGTGGGGCACACTTATACTTGTGCTTACCATTATTATTATCTTTTTTTTTTTTTTTTCTGAGAGGTTTTGCCTGGGCATCTGCACTCGCGGGGGGAGGGGGGAAGCTAGGGAGACAGACAGACAGACACACACACACACAGTGAGAGGGAAAGTGAGAAATCACCCTCCAGGGAGATGGCAACACCGCAATCCCTTCTCTTCCATTCTCCTCTCAGGATCTTGGGTACACATGCACACATGCTGTGGGTGATTTTGAAACCACTAGGTCTGGGACTCAAACCATGGTTGGCCATGTGGGAGTCCGGCAACCTAACCACTATGCCATCTGCTTGTCCCATGTGCCCACTGTTTTTGAAGTGCTGAGTTTGAGACTTGACCTATTCAATCGGCCGTGTAGGATCTAGTTTCCTTAACCACTAGGCCACAAAGCCAGCATGGGATTTCTAGTCCAAAAGATGCCCTTGAATTAGGTTTTATTGTTGTTTTGATGTTACTTTTTCTGTATTGAACCATTTACTGGATAGCATAATGTGTATTTTGGCAAATTTCATATCTAATTTCTGCTCAGAATTGAAGGTGAAAATCTTCAGTTGTATTTAGAGCATTTTGGTCCAGGCTAGCAACACTGCTGAAGTCTTCCTTAGGCTCATCGAGGAGCTGTCAAACAGCCTGTGGCTGGCATGTCACAGTGCGCGTGACTCCCACAGGCAGCCAGGATAAATCTGTGCAGGGGCACGGTCCAAATTACGTTAGCAAACATACCCCATCCCTCTCTCTGTCTAGTTCAGAACTACTCTTTATTTATTTTTTCAGAATTATTGTTCTCATTTTGTTTGCAGAAACAGATTCTTCCCATCTGCTAAACAGTGAATTTTTTATCCTTAGCGACTACAAGATACTTCAAGCAAGCTGACTGAAGACCACAAAGAAGAACAAATAGAAGGCAATTTTCTTACTAAAAATCTCAATAAGTAAGCAGGCAAAAGTGATCATTTTATTATAGAAGTCCTGGTTACCACCATAGGATATATGTGGAAAGAATAGTATCTTCTCTGGCTTACCGAGTATTTCTGTATCATTTTCCCAGTCAACATCGAACATTTCTTTTGAAGACGTGTGTGTGTGTGTCATAGGAGATGACAGGAATACCAAACAGATGGTGGGGATTATTGCAGATTCCATCATTTGGGATTCCCACTCTCATATTAAGAGTTGTGAATACCTCCAGTGACTCCCAGAAGAATGAGCTGGAGAGAGGGGCAGATGCTAGACTGTGAGATGGGTTATTAAACTCTGTCTCCAGGTTCAGCCCTAATAGCACACTGGTAGATGCTGCTACCTGGCAGCCTGAGGGCACATGAGAGGGCTCAAGTTTGATTCCCAGCCCACCCAAAAAGGCACGTGTGGTAGCACATGCTTGTAGTTCCAGCTACTTCAGGGGCTGAGGCAGGACTGGGACTCAGGGAGACCCCCATCTTGAAACAAACTATCTGCAAAGCAACACAGATGGAACTAGAACTTGTTACCAATAGGGATTCTTGCCATGCACATCTTTTCAGAGCTGCCACTTAATTCTCATTTTAACCAGATTGCACGAACCAGAAATAAAGCCCAGTGACAAAGCATACGTTTATTCAGTAGAAGGTGGTGCTAAATATAAAGCATTTCTCTATTTTTCTCTATGGAGAAATACAAGCCAATTTTTAGGCTAACTAGACTATATTGATGTTTTAGAATTAACATTTAACAAATGTCAAATTATGCATTAAATTTATTAAGTATCTAGTTAAAAATTAAACTTACTAACTTGCTTATATATTGCCACTTCAAATTATGTTACATGAAATGTATTAATTTAATAACTTTTTTCATTCTCACATTTCATGAAAGTTTGATTCAAAATCTTCTCATGCAACTTTAACATTATGGGAGCTATTTTTTAAAGTTAACTAACAGACTTCCAAGCACTTCACCTTCTCTTCCATCCAAGTTACTTAAAAAAACATTTGTGTATGCTGTCACTGGAAATTTCATTCCACGTCATAAGTATCAGTTTTCTCTGTGGGTTTATTGTTGCGTTTGCAAATAAATGCTGTTACTTTTTATTTTTCAATTGCCAGAAGGTGGGTGCACTTGCCAGACAGAGACAGGGAGAGAGAGGGAGAAAGCACCCCCCGTGGGCATGATCACACCACAATCCCTTCCCTTCCATTTCTCCGCCCTGTCGGGATCTTAGGCATGTACACACACACACACACACACACATACACACACACACACATACACACACGGCATTTTTTTCCCAAGCTGCTGGGACTGGGATTCAGATCACGGTTAGGCATGTGGGACCTAGCTCCCTTAATTATGAAGTTACAGGGCAGGCCCAGGACTTTCTTACTTTCTAAGTATCCTCGAAGATGTATTAAAAACAACTTCCAGTATCAGTAATTGTGAGGTTATGCCCAGGAGTAATGACTAAATAAATAAATAAATAAATTCTATGTTCAATTTTTTATTTTTGAGAGGTTTTTGCTATAGGGTACATGCGCTCGCCAGAAAGACAGAGACTGACAGAAAGACAGAAAGTGAGAAATCACCCCCCAAGGGGTATGGCCATGCCGCAGTCCCTTCTCCTCCATTCTCCTCT